GAGGTGGAAGTGAGTATAAAACAGGCGTAAGTAAGTTGTAAAATGGCCACGTCATTTTTGAGGATGTGTATGAAAACAGATCACATCAGATAGTAAACTGAGAACAACACAATTGCTCAGAAGATTTTTGCATGAAAAAATAGAACTTCATTCGCAAGAGGTTACGCTGAAGGAATTCAAGTGAAACGAGTCAAAGCCATCATGAAGCAGACAGCTATGAATGAAATCACAGTAGTATGTTAATTAGAATAAAAAAGTTGAAATGCATTATAGAAATCACAGAACGGATTTCGTTCGATAATCGCTCACACTTGGTGAGGCGTTCCATTTTACAAATGACAAAGTTGTGTTTCATCTTTTCGAAGGATATTCAATGGTCGTTTTCTCATAGAACTCCTTTGCTACTCAAAAAACGACTTTAAACTAATATCGGAGACACTGCAGAGATTATTCGGTTCTAAAGCATCACTCCCGATGAGCTGACACAATATTGTTAGCGCGCTCGTAGTTGTGAATGGCCCACGTTTTGGAAACTGATCTTTGCCTGTTCGCTCACGATATGTATCATCAGTAAGTATCATAAGTAGGGGATGTATACCCAAGGAGCCGACTGTACTAAAAGGCACCGTACTACTGAGGAGCCTAGAAGGGCGAAAGAAGGCCCTGTCTAGTACTTCATAACTGCCTTACCAGTCCTTATAAAATGCTCGAGAGATGTCATCATATTATCAGACGATCATCAGTGATTGAGTCCAATAACTTCAGTTGAATTCCGAAACCTAGACCTCAATCGTGGTGAAGTCTTGGAGAATTTCCTTCTTTTTTCTCGTGGCCAATTTGGATGATGAATGAAGGTGAAAAGTTCAGTGTTCGCAACCCTGCATAAGCAGGTGGGAGACAGATGATGAGATTTTACGTCAACGCTTGCATACATTAACATATTTCAACTGTGAGTACACAGGTGAAATATTTCAAAATACAACATCTAAAATTCGCTCAATGAGCAATGGCATGGTGGAGAAATTTTCAAGGCAAAAGCATGGGATGTGAGCGTTTTAATGAATTTCCATTGTTTGTGTTATTGAGGTCAGAATATTCATTAGATATGTCCAATGGAGAATTTTCATCGCGGATATTAGTTTGTGTTATTCTAATATATAACAGAAGAAAATCAGATATTTTGATCAATAAAAGAAAGCAAACAATACGTCACAAATCAATAGCTGTGATGTTGCTGTTGGTGAAACGAGTGAGCGCTAAGCGTTTAGCATTAGTCAGCCCCGTGTTCACGTTTCGGACATCGCATTCATCAAAAATTTTCCGGATAGTGTCTAAAGGATGACAGCGGCGAGAACGTTGATGCGTGTCGATCTTCTACCACTCTCACAGCGGACAGTCGTTGGAATCGAAATGCATGAGATCTCGTCGAACAGTTAGCGTTTACAAGGAACTCGCTATCTGATCGGGTTCATCGCTCACCTATCTCCTACGGTGCCCGATGTGAGTGCTGAACGGAGTGCGAATGATCCAGATCGAGCAAGAAAACTATATACTCACACAGTAGGCGAGAAGACTCCAACGCTGACATTTACCTTCGAGGCCGTATTCTCAGTAAGTAGGCCCACGATATGAGGAAAAAGCTCGAGTAGCAGGAATGGAACATGTTTTTGAAAAAGGCTCTCAAGCTACAACATTGAGCTCGATTCCTTTTTAAAGCCAGAAAACGTCGCTTTCGTGACCAAATGCTCCAGCTTGAAAAATTGCACAAGAACTTCAAATGACAAGAATGTTTTTTTACCGTTTTTTGGGGAGCAGACACGACGCTGTTATGAAAGAGATTTAGAAAAAATGGGCCACCTTTTCTTTGCCTTCAATAGAGCATAGAAAGGGAAAATTGGTACGCAATCTACTCAACAAAACTTTTCCATAATCTATGCAGTGAAACTTATTGCATAAATAGAAGCAGCTCAATTCAAGCATTCACCGTTTTATTTTCTACAAGTTCCTCAGTTGTTGTTGAAGACCACCCACACAGGATTGAGATGATTGTGAGTATTGTGTTTCACTCAGGTGAAAAAATCGACCTGAGGTATGGGCCGTTAATTTTGATCTCATGATGGGCGTTCTTCAAAAGTAGGATACATTCGACACATTATCTAAACAAATTCGCTGAAATGTATGCCGGAATTTTTACTTGAAATTGTTTATTATTTCAGAGTTAGTTATTTTACTGAATGCTTGTTAAGCAGAGGGCACGAAGTTGTCAGGGAAACTTTTATACAGTATAATGCTGGATGATGTTTCAACGGTTTTGCTTTTTGGGTCGTTCAGTAGTTATAAAGGAACAGCCGCGCGGGATTTTACCTGGACAAGTGATGTCTTCATTCTCAAATAAAGTTAGTTCATGTGTAAGGTAGTCTGTTGCACTTAATTTTACTAGATGTGACATCTGTGAAAAGCTGCATTTCATTAAATTATTATTGTGTACATTTGAATATCCGTAAAAAGGTTTCATACTCGGAAGAAGGCGAAACCGCCAAAATGTCAGCCAGTGCTATACTGCATATAATTCATGTTGACACATGTCTGCTCATGAAAAATATTAAAATGTTTGCATGAAATATTACTCTATCTTATGCACTACCGAAGAGTAAGGAATCCGTCCGCAGCATCAACCCCAGTGGGATGAACCATGCATTGGATCACATTCGTAAAAAAATCCTAGCACATTTTCCGTAATCATTTATCTATAAGTACTTATGGATCTATCAGATCAGTGTTTCTATCGCACTCAGGCAAGTTTACTACTAATGTGTGAACGCCGAAGATTTGAAAGACTTGGTTATTTCAGGGCGCGAAAGTGAATCAAAGTCAGAGCTTGCCACATCTTACCACCGTGCCAGAACTACAATTCGAATTATAATAGCGCTGAAACTGATTTGACATTGCATTTATTCGAACCTTTTGATGATGTCTTTTACAGACACTTATACAGTGTATTAACGTCCTTTGGCCTTTCAGCCTCGCCAGTTGCAGAGGGCTTTTCGTCTAAGTCAATTCCTTCCGGGGGAGAACCCCCTTACATAGAGGAATCGCCGACGAACATGTCACGCTGCCTCGTTCAAAGTGAAAATTCGCAGTACAAAATTCACATACTGCAGAGCATATCACTGTATGTCCAGTGACATGATCACAGATCACCCATAAAAAGAAACACATTATCGGAATCTTTTGTTTTGAGCGAGATCTGAAAAAACAGTTGACTATGAAACTAATTCAATTTGTATGACTAATGAATGTTCGGAATATGCTAGAAAACTCCGAATTCAAAAAACACATAAAGCAGAAAGATCAATATTTTTGGTATTTCGGAAAATTTGTGAAGAGTTATAAAGCATAATTTTTCAACTTATTAGAGAAAGCTCGGCTCATTTCAAAGGTGAGAAGTAAAGAATCTTGCATTGATACGCGCAAAAGCATCAAAATTGCGAATATTTCTTATGGTCTTAATGAAAAAAGAGATGGTCCTTATAGAAGCGGAGAATCCGCATGTCTTACATCCCTCAAGCGATATGTATTCTTGAAAATTCGGCATATAAAGGAAAAGATTGTGAAAGAGTGAACGTGATGAAGTAGATTGACTCCATCGACAATACAAATCATGTCTCAGCTTTTGATAGGGCAAAGTTGTAAGCAAAATTTGTTCTGAGAAAGACTGGTGGGCGTATGAAGCAATGACACCAGGTGCGATCATCAAGGGAACACAGCAAAGTGTTCGTTAATGAAAAGTTGACGAGCTCTCAAGTCACGATGACGCAGTTGTGCTGGCAACGCGACCGCCGTGAAGAACGGCCGGCTTAACTGGCTGAGGCAAGGCGAAAACAGCTATTGTCACCACATGCCAAACATTCCAGAGCGGAGTTTCTCAGCCCAATGAGAAATGCCGTTCATTATTAGTAACGATCATGTGCCTACATCATCCAGCAACAACATGACGTCTTTTGAGAATATTCACCGCTAAATTTATTTGATGACGTGATCACTGGCTCAATGAAACTTGCCTGACGAACTCAATATGAAATAGGTGTGACAGGTAGGGCGTGTAGCTCTGATGAGGCGGGGGAGACCGCCGAAAAGTACGTAAACCATGGACAAACCAAATCTCGAAATGACTTAAAACGGCTTCTCAAAGTATATCGAAGTTAAGAAACGAGGTTTTGAATACAGTCAAATGAAGGCCATCATGAAAATTTCTCATTTTAAGAGGCTAAGTGTTTCCATCATAAAGAGACAAAGGATAAAGCTCTCGGCGTTGATCAATTCCTAAGGGATGCGCCATGCATTCGTCTTCAAATTCTAACTTCGTTTGAGGTGATTGAATGCATATCTGGTCTTTACAATCACTCGCGGTGGCCTACCGCTTAACCAAGTCAGTGCTGCTTATCCTCCCAGACAGGTCTAAGACCAGTCTGGTACCAATTTACCGACCCCGGAGGGATGGATGGCTTGGTGAGCCACGAGCGCGAGATCGAACCATTGACCTCGCGTGCGACGCAGAGCACCTCTAACCACTGCGCCACATGCGCTCGTTTTCATCATAAGTATACGTATATTGATATTAAGCTCAACAATGAACGTTTCAATGAATGATGTATCACTGATATGTTACTCTCCACTTTTTATTTCACATCTCAACGTAGACCTTGCTCACATTATAGAAAAATTTTGCGTTGAAAATTTGAAATCTATGCTCGTGATATGAGAGTTCAACCAATTCCTAATGTTATACGCATTCCAAACACTTCAGGATGTCGAAATTCTAGTATTTTTACCGCTTTTTTCGCAGTGCTATGATGTTACAAATATATCTAGGAGAATTGAGTGGTGAGCAAAAATACGGCCCTTTATAAAGCGAAATCGCATGCTCGACCAAAGCTGTTGAGTATTGATGGCCGACAGCTAACATAGAGATGTTGAAGAATGAGTGGTGAGGCAAACGTGCCTCGGTGGTGTAGTGGTAGAGCACGAGTCCCCGGATAGGATCAAACGCGGGTTTGATTCCTGCCAGAAGCCGTGTTTTTGCTCACCACTCAATTTTCTTAGGCATATTTGTAGCTTCAGGATTTATTCCTACAGCTCCAAAAGTTACATCAGTCTTCGGAACTATGAGTACGCCTTCTTCGGAGCAAAACTCATACAAAGGTCGTAGAGGAATTCGAACCCACACGATTTCTACAATTTTCAGTGATCATCAAAATTGTATAAACAAGTACAAATCTGGCTATCGACACGCACAAAAGGTTAATTACATTAAAAAACATCAGCTGTGCATTTTCAATACAGCTGTCATTCACCAAGACTTTGATGATTTTCTTATTATGTCTCTTTGTAAACAAGAATACCATGGAAGCTTATTACTAGTAGAAGTTCTTGTTTATAAAAGCCTAATTGCAAAATGTACAGGAGGTATGTTTATCATACACAAGAATTTATTGCTTATTTGGAGGTGCTGAGCCATCTAGAAAGCGAGGAAGATGAAAGCTACGGTTACTAAAGTGTTCTAAAAGCAGCAGATGCTTGCTTCTGGCGAGTTCCTCGACACGTTTTGGCGCAGCTAACCCATCAAGGTGGCGTGATGGCTATATTTCCGTCTAACCCAGAGGCCGACATTGGTTTTAGAACCCTAAAGAAGATTTAGGATCCATAATTTGGAAGCACAAGGGCTCAAACAATGCCAATAACAATGGTGAGCTCTTACAGTAGATGATGGTTATAGGGCCAATCTACACTTAGAATTAGATAAAGGCGCATAAAAAGTGTGGTCAACCGAACGTTTCTCATATTTAAATTGTTTTCCAGGAATATGATGCACAGGTTAAGCACTCATAAGTAGTAGCAAACTGTCATCGATAAAAATTAGAATTATTACCACAGTTTCGAAGTGAATTCCGAAAAAAGATAAGAAAAAGCACGTGATTTGACAGAGTGGAAGGCATTCTGTCGCGCGATAGTGAGAAACGCCTCCTTATCATGAAAATATAAGAAATATTAGCACAGGAATTTCCCACACGTTGGCTATAGCCACGTAACTTTGCTTGAAATAGAACCCAGGAATAACTTTGTAGCCCAATTCATCGAAACCAAACTTTTTTTTGGTAAAACACCGAAATATCCCTAATAAACCATTCGATTCAAATTGGAGCAAGACAAACGGTTCTATAATGGCCTATTTGTTCTTACTTCACAAGAAAACTTTTTTTGCCGCGTTGATATTGTTCTTGAACCATCATTTGACAGACGGAACTAATAAAAGAGGAGCACGTCTTTTTGACGTTATGTGATCGCAGTAAATCTGCAAAGAGCAATATTCGGAACAAAAAGGGCATAGAGATGTTTCCAAAGGGGACGCCATCTCAGTGTTCCACCAAGCGATGAGGGTCTGGCGGAACAGACTGCACGGGTCGCTGCAAAACGTGTAATCGGAGAGTATCGCATATCTGGTCCAGCGTTTTTATAAGACTCTCTTCACATCGGGATGATATTATTGTCTGTTCAGTCATTATATTACGGGGCATATAGCACTGTAAACATGAATAATCATAGCAGTCAATTTATAGTCATCAAATACATCGAGATAGCTAATAAAGCGGGGTGTAAGGAGGATAGAAAGTCATTTGAAGTATTTGAACATATCTCTCACTTCAAGGTGTCATTGATCAACCTTTTTCAGGAACTTAACATTTAATTATATACATCTTTGGGTTCTAATTTTTCATTCGCCTCAGTCCGTAGCTCACGGATTACTGTTCCGTTGTAAACGTTTACAGATCAACGTAAGGTTTACAGATCAGCCACTAATTTAGTTCTTACTTAAGTGCAATAGCTATGACTAGCAATAGCAATAACTTGGTACAATATAGCACAAAGAAGGTTACTGTAGAGGACAAACCGCCAATAATGATAAACATTCATTGAAGTCATTTGTAGAGATCAGTAATCTTAATTCACAGGACCGGCTATCGGTTAGCCTCAGCATAGTCGAGTTATTCCGTGACTTTCTTATTCAGCAAACACGAGAATTTTAACACACATTTATTTAGCACATTGTGGTAGCACAATGGAGGCATTTTCAATGGCTGGCGTTTTGGCGGTCACCTTCTTTATTGAGTTAGACAAGGAGAGAGAATATAAAGCTCATAAACAATAAAACTCTCGATGTTGACCAATCCCTGAGAAATGCGCCATGCAATCGTCTTCAATTGCAGCTTCTTTTGAGGTAACTAAATGCGTATCTGGCGCTCATAATAACTCCCGGTAGCCTGGAAAAGCTTGGTGAGCTGCAAGAGCTCGATCGGTATAGCCTTGTGTGCGACGAAGAACACCTTCACCATTGCGCCACGTGCGCTTTTGTTTTACTGTATACAATGCAATCACGTGAGTCACAAGATAAAGGCAGTGGCTTAACTTCATCCAGCTGGAGAAACCTTGCATCCGATACTAAGACCAAGAAAAACTCGACCATCCGAAAAAAAACAAACTTTGAAATGAGCTGGTTTTCGTACGACGTGGGTACATTGAACGCCACGGTCAACTTGGATTGGAATGAAACTGGAAAGGAACGTTAACTGAATGGCGTAGATCTTGTACCTTCTATTCTATTCAGGAACCAATCGTTTGATTATAAACGCATCCTTGATCTTGATGTTTACCAGATCGCACACAGTTTCAGTGACGCATGTCAATAGAAATTGCATTCATTCGTCTCAAACAACGCCTTTGTGTTTTTATGTTTCGAATGCAAATCATCCGTGTAATTTTGATGAATGGAAAAGAACTGGGCTATGACCTGGAAACCAGAAGTATTTTTTTATTCAGTATGATGTGCTTGCTTGGTCAACAGTGAACTTATAACAGGTGAGGAAAGCATTTCTCCACAACATCTTCAGGAATTTTCTTTTTGTTATTTCCGTTTATATCAATATCCATAGAGCCCTCGTGACATGAAGAACGTAACAAGGCCAAAAGATAGCAAAAGACTAGAGCCACCTTCCTACCGAATAGTCTCCATTCAACCGTATGGGTATGCTAATTTTAGTGATTTAATATTAACATATAGATGTACATTGCATATATCATGATCCTAAATGAAAATTGAGCGATTTTCGACGGATATCGTGATATTACCTTAGACAAACAATAAGGCGACTTCTCACCTATAGCACGCGCCCCAACCCCTCATTCGCTCATCCTAGACAAATACAACAATGTCGCATCCATTGAATCATCACCCGTTCGTAGTATCAACACAGTTTTTTCGTTGTATCATAAGTTAGCATGTATTTCGTGAATATATCATGACCTCAGTCCGTGAAAAACTAGCTCTCTATCTCAGTTGTTTGCTTATTCCTCTCAAAATCATCGGCTGCTTCTTCCTTATTGATCCTACATAGTAGTATTCAATTGTTAACTTATTGTTCATATGTTAATTTATTTTTTTAGATTGGAATTCCATGGCTTCATGTTCTCTTAGCTTCTTATCCATACGGTAGACCTCTGCTGAACCATGATATTCTGTGAAAACATTACTTTCAGTTGTACAAATCGAACGAGCTGGTGGAGTGGCCCGACGGTGCAAATTCTACATATCAGTGATGTTTTTGTATATACTTTTGTATCCATATATCTGTTAATATTACGGTCGGTTATATGTGTTATAATTATCCATGTAAAGCTTTAATTACCAAGGTTGAATTGTACAGATCGTATGTAAACCACACATGTTAGCATTCACGTATTTAACACTCGAATAATACAGTCACTTCCTCCTCATTTTCTTCTCAACTTAGTGGAACTGATTCACCACGATTTATCATTCGACCATAGTTAGAAGAAATTTTCTTTTATCTGTTCTTTGTTAGCCTAGGCCATCGGAAGAAATAATGTTCTTAAAATGACATCTGTCCCTCAAAATCCAGTGAAGCTTGGTTTCTTAAAACATTAAAAAACGTTTCACTCATGTAAAATTATTGCTAATGGCATGCTTAGTTCGTGCAGTTCCATTCTATTGCCTATAACAAAGAGGCCCCATGCAGTGAGAAAGGAAGGTAGCTGCAAGCAGCGCTCATACAAATAATATATCAAGCAATGAACACTACAACGATTAACAGTCATCTATTACTATCTCAGGAACGTAGTCATAGGCTTTTGATTGAAACAACTGACAAGATTTAGCTGAAAAAAGTATATACGTCAATTCTGTTTATGTCCGTGAATATTTCGTATGGAAGGTTTACATTAATATCTTGTAGCAGATTTGGCCTGTCCAAACTCTATGAATTCTTCAACCTCGATTCACTTTTAGCCACTTATGACAACGTATACCTTTGTCTGCTGTCTGTTTGTTGATGTATACAACTAAGATTTTCCTACAAAAACATCTTCTGTCTTTACGCACACTATAATCATTTATGTACAGCATAACTTTTTGGGGAGATGAGAGAAGGGTGTAGTGCAGTGGCTAAAGGTGCGCTGCAATACGACAGTGGTAACTAAGTCGGTCTCGTGCCTAGAGCTCCTTACACTATATTCAGTCATTGTACGGGACAAGGTATGCATTCAATCACCTTGTGTAGCGCTTCGTAAAATCGAATGCACAGAGTGCATTATCATTTTTCTACTGATAGCTGATATTTCTACTGATATATAATATATATATATATATATATATTATTGCATAATTGTATAAATATATATTCACATAAATGCATAGATATGAAACACATAAGACGTTCTCTATTCAATTTATTTACACAACCTTTCCTTCGCATTTAACCCTGCAGATTCCAGCCCTTCGAACACTCGAATCGTTTTGTCGCATACACCCTCCACAAACGTCTTCCGAGCACTTCGCGTATTATTTCAACTGCTGCTTGGGATTTTTGTCTTCTTTATAAATGACGTGGAATGCTGGTCGTACAGATCTCCTTGCTATCTCGGGAGAATCCAACCTAAAGCGATCCGTAAAGCGCTCGTTGATTGATTGCAACAAAGGGTTGGGATAGAGTAGAGCTAAC